GTCAGGGGATGGACCACCAGAGCCCACCGCCTTCCCCTCTCCGCCGGGCCGCTCAGTACAGAGCCAGTCCGCCTGTAGAGAGCGTGTGTATGTACAGGTCCCAGTCCGGGTCTCCTGTGCGCTACCAGACGGAGCAGCTGCCGGGCCGGCCCAAGTCCCCGCTCTCCAAGATGAGCAGCCAGCGGTCCTTCCAGCTGAGCTCCCAGCCCTCCCTGTCCTCCCAGCACCACCAGGCCCAGGGCCTCCGCCTCCAGCCTTCTATAGCCCAGATAGTGCGCACAAACCAGCCCAGTGTGATGGGCAACAGCCTGTATAGCGGCCAGATGGGCCACTCCATGGGGGGCCGCTACCAGGGGGGCTCCGTGGATGTAGAGAGCAGGTTGGTGTACCAGCCCTCGCTGGATGGACGGTCCATGCCCCAGGTTCAGGCCAGCCTCAGCTCTGGGGCCCTCTGTCAGCACGGGGGCCGAGGAGGGGTTATGGAGTCCAGCTTGTTGAAGGATGAGCTACCCCAGCGCCCCTCCTCTGCCTACCGCGCCAGCAGCGGGGGCCCGGGGGGCATCCGTTACAGCCAGACACCTCAGATCAGCCGCAGCCAGTCAGCTGCCTACTACCCTGTCTCTGAACACGTGCTGGAGCGGGTCAACGTCATGCCCCCCTGCCAGCTGGGCTCCCCCGAGATCCCACACATGGTGAGACGCCCCGTCAGTGCCAATACTACTGAGATGAAGCCGCATGTGCCCACCCCGAGGCCCCTCATCCACTCTCAGAGCGTGGGCCTCCGGTTCTCCCCCTCCAGCAACAACATCTCCACTGGATCCACCTCCAACTTAGCGCCGGGCTTCAGGCCGTCCTCCTCCATTCAGCAGATGGAGATCCCCCTGCAGGCCTCGTACGAGCGCTCCTGTGACGACATGTCCCCCATCTCCCCCTCCCAGTATCCAGGGGAATCCACCCGCTCTCGGAACACGCCCTTCATGGGCATCATCGACAAGACGGCGCGGGCCCAGCAGTACCTGCACCAGCCCACGCGCTCCAGGAACATGACGTCCATGGACTCCGCCATCAGCCCGACGTCACCGGGGCAACTGGTCCAGCAAGGCTCCACCTACAGCCCCCCCGCCTCGCTGGGCAACATCGCCTACTACAACAAGACCAACAACGCCCAGAACGGACACCTGTTGGAGGAGGACTACTACACCCAGCCGCCCTCACTGGGGAAAATGGCCAACGGCTCCCGCGGTGGGGGGGACATCCTGGAGCGGGTCAGCCAGGTGCCCACCTACCCCGACGTGAAGGTGGCCAGGACTCTGCCCGTGGCTCAGGCCTACCAGGACAACATGTACCGCCAGCTCTCGCGGGACTCCCGCTCCCAAGGCCCCACCTCCCCCATCAAACCAAAGAGACCATTTGTGGAGTCGAATGTGTGATGGCCCGCCTGTGATTGGTTGAGTGGACTGGGGTGTGTTAGTGGGAGTGAGAGGAGAAAAATATTTAGCTTGACAGGATATGATGCTGAACATTTGTGTATGTGACATGGACGAACCTAAAGAACTCATCAGAGAGAGAGAAAACGCGTAGGAGATTAGACATTATCTTAAACAAGAAGAATAACTAACATTGAGAAGCGATTCTTTCATTATCATAAACCGTCACACACGGGATAACAGGAGTTCTAATACTGAATCAAAGACCAGTGCACTTCCAAAACGTCACGTGGCACAAAGTCCCACCAGGTGAACACATCGGGTGGGACTGCAAGAGTGAAAGTGCTCATCATCGGACTCTTCTCGTGGACTGTATCCATCTTCTGTTCTTTCAAAGTGTGCTCTTAACCGAGGTTGCTAGTAGGCTCTATTCTATGTAATACAATATTCTATGTTCAATACTGTACATTGCTCAGAAAATACAAATGGCTCAACAACTCAGTACTTAGAGAAAAATTACAATATTTATAATTAAGTTATATATTGTACATAGAAAGAAAAGCATAGTTTGCGTTTGAATTGTATTTGTTAACCCTGCCTTTGTGTCCTAGTCATATGGATGAGGAAAAGAGACCAGGGTAAGGAGGGACATGGAACAACTCTGAATGATATACTCACCTCTGTCATAATAAAAAAGAGTTTGTTGTGGCTTAATGCAAGAAAATGCAGATTACTTTTAAATGTAAAATTACATTTGAAGATTTTTTGAAGTAAAATGTCATAATATAGCAACATGCCCAAATCTGATCCAACATGAGGTCTTCAAAAGTTGCGTTTTGTCCGACCAACAGTCCAAAATCCAACAATATTCAGTTAACAGTGCAACAAATCCTCATATTGTAAGCTAGAACAAGAGATTTGTTGAATTAATAGTAATATTGATATTATAATTGACTTACAAGCAATGGTTTTTGACTCCCAGTTGCACAAAGTCATTAAAAACTGTTTCACAAAGTGTATAAAATAATGTTAAGATCGTAAAGTCTCGCTTTTATTTACAGGATAATGACCCCATCACAGACCTCATTAGCATCAAGGCTTTAATAACGTTTCCTGACATATTGGACTAGCTCCATGTCAATAAGCAGCTTTGAATACTTGCTTACATGATGCAGAATTAATAAAAACCTGGCTTGAAGATAGATTGCTATATTTAAGCGTGAATGAATGCAGGTCATATGATGCAGAGGTGAATATATGATGTGGTACATGAGTATCAAAGTTCCTCTGTGACAGTCTGTTCCTTAGAGAGAGTACAGTACATATGCTAGTGATGGGCTAACATGGATAGCGCTCAGCGATTAAAAGCAAGCAAATGCATACACGACCACCGTTACCGACCTCCCCCTTCCTCCTGCATACGTTTGTGTTGTTTCTTTTTACCCACAATGCATTTTTATTCCGCCACTTCTGCACTAAAAATGCCTGTTAAGTTCTAAACTAAGGGTGCACTTTATGTATTTTACTTACTTTGTTGTTATGATTGTTGAATTCGGAGAAAAGCGGGCGTGTGATCAGGCTGACCTCTGACCAGTGAGACTATCATAGACAACAATATTATAATAATTATTATATGATTTACAAAGCAGTGATGAATGACAACATGAAGAGCAGCCAATGTTTTTAAACTGGTGAAGATGTATAGACTTTCTAGCACAAGTTGTATATACTGACTCCTCTCGGGTTTGTGGGTGAACCAGGTCTGTTTCAAGAGGCAAATCATATTTAAGAATCATAAAGGAAATATCCATTAAAGTCTCTAACTAAGCCAGTCTAATCCACTGGTCTTGCACACATCTTGAAATAAGGTCAAATCTACTGCAACAAAAAAGAAAATATGACTGAAGTTTCAGCGCCCAGAAAACTCCATATTTGGAGTTTAGGTGGTGGAAAAAGTGGAATAATGAGAATATCCAAGTTATTTGTACATGTGGGAAAAGTTATAGACCATTTGTCTGTAACGTTTTATTTTGGTTTCTCTGATAAAGAATATCTAAAGAGGTTTCACCGGAGAGATGCCCTACTTATCTTTACAGAAATGAAGGTATAAACTGTATTATACTTAATTTAAGAATACTTCTAAGATGAGGGTGTATGGTTTGAAGCTGTCTATGTATATTAGTTTGCTGTAAATAGTCTTATGCATGTTATATTCTTTCCATGAGCTCGAGCAGAAACATGTATAGCGGTGTTCTGACCCTGGTGTGGTACGACGTCCGGATGAAGATAAGGAGACTGCTACCTGAACTGTCCTTATCATTTTCCTTCAACTCCACCAGACAAAAAGCAAACGGTTCCTTTTATTTTATTTTAATGTATTTGCTTGCTGAGCAGAGTTCTCTTGTCTGTAAATGTGAGCTTTCAGATCGCTGTGATAAAAAGTTGAATTAAAAACAATAAAAAAGAATGTGTTTTTATCTCGTGATAACTGATTGTAATCTGTACAGTCAAACCTATGTAATGGAGAAAAAAAAGAACATATTTATAAATGGTTACCAACTGAAACACGGCCTGCATGTCAGTCGTTTATTTTACTGAATAATTGTATATTACATACACGGGTAATTTGGTGGATTTTGGTCCACAAAACTAAATGTAACGGCAGTGTGACGACAGAGTACCAACCTTCTGTGCAATGCAATTCAATACGTCTCCCAGGAATACATGTGTAGCAGCACCTTTCTGGCCCAAATATGGTGTGCTTTTCCCTGGATATGATCAATCTAAGTCTTTTAATGTTTAATTTTGCACAGAATGTTACCTTATACCTAACATTGTGGACTTTCAAACATTTAGGTGTACTTATTTTACACATCAAAGTCTGTTCACTATCAACAGAGTGGCACGAAATATGATTAACTTCCTCAAGTGACATCATCTCTGCTGTAGGCTAATGGCTTGAGGCTATATTTGCCGTTACTAGCATAGCACACCTGAATGTCTGAAGCAAACTTGGTGGTTGAATTGCATTGTGGGTAATATATGCACCAGGTTTTGACAGGGACGGAGAGTGTAGAATAAACAAAGAAGGTATTTCAGATTCTGCTGCATTGATATTAACGGTCCACCGTTATAGGAATGCATTGATAAACCCTTTTGACCTTTCTTAGGTAACATTAACAATTTCCAAATGTTCTTGAAGATCGTAAAGTCTCAATGATTGTAGGTTTGAAGTTTCTTGGCTGTTTTAACCATTTCTAGTATTTTCATGAACAATGGTCCTGACTTTCATGAAGAAAAACGTTTTCTGATTCACCAGATATTTTCCTTCCTTGGCCTAATCTTTAAGTGCAAAGGATCAACAAGAGGTTTTTTCTACAGCCTGGTAACCATCAATAGCTAGACCCCGCCAAATTAGGTTTTCAAGTCTGGTAACATTTGATTTGAGGCCTAATACCACCTTATCAACACTTATTATTGCTGTATATAGATTCACTACAAATGTGAAGAGAATTCAAATCAGATTTAACCCAAATAATTCAGTAACATGAACGCCAAGAATTAAGGAGCATGAAGTAACAACCTGAAGACTCTTGCCATGTTTATTATAAGAGAACAAAAACTAATTTGGGAGTATCTAACACAACCATGAATTTGAAAATAGACAGACATTAAAGGTGCCTACAGAAACCTAGAAGGAATCTAAAGTCCTTATTGTAGTTTCTAGTCCTTCTTCTTTTTGTGCGTGAAAAGGTAAACCAGTCCGGGCACCAGCACTATGACAACCTGAGGCACAATGACGAATTTGATGAAGAACAGGCTATAGAAGAGGCCTTGAGGTCGCACCGGGAGGGGCAGACGGTTGACGTGGTACAGTCCCATGGAGGAAATGGCCAGAGACAGAGCCCGGGGGGCCCAGGGCAGAGGCCACCCTCCAGGCTTCCAGTACTGGGCCAGCCCCAAACCCAGGAGGGCCCCGCAGTCTCGAGTCAGAGAGGAGAACGGGGCCGTATCCAAACGGATCCACTCTGCACGGCTGCACCACTTCTTAGCCAAAGTAATAGACCTGTGGAATAGATAGAAACAAGAACAACGTACAGCTTCACCTCACAGAGCTTATTATACAATGATAAGACTCATCAATACACATACATGTTATAGAAAGACTCACCAGGAGAGGTCCACTCCCAGCTGCTGCAGTCCAGCATGCAGCAGCAGAGTGCCGAGCAGCAGGCCCATGCTGAAGCTGAAGAAGAACAGCAGGGAGCGACCTTCAGGTACTCGGCGGCTCAGGACCACCCCCAGAATGAAGCCTTACAAAAGAACTCAATAGGTTAAAATCTCCAAGGAAAATACCGTGTTTGTTATTTACTTGTATGGAAAATTACCTCCATGGTATGCTGAAATCTAATGTTAGACAACATATCTACGTTTAACCTCAAATATTTTTCCATTCCTTTAAAACTGGTCTGAAAAGTGGATTAGGCTACAGTGGGAATTGTTACAAATCAAAGAGTCAGAGGTTTTATTGTAATTATGGACAGTATTTCAGTGATAATTCCATATTTAGAGTGGGGTTGTAAAAGGTACTGTCAACAATATCCACATCACATCCGTATCCATAGTCAGTGTATAACCTACAGTAGATGGCCATCGGCACACCCCTGGTTTGAGAAACAGACAGAAGTACGCTAAGCAACGTTCTGCTGTGCATGCATCAATGTTTTTATGTACAATTATAAAGACAGAGGAAGAGGATTTTACACATATGCCCTACACACAATCCATGTTCTAGCAGGTGCTTCAAACTGTGTTCAGACCTGTGATGGAGCCAGCGATGACCTGGTGAGGGAAGTGGGCGAGGATGAAGATCCTGGACATTCCAACGGCCACCAGCATTACCACATACAGCAGGTAGGGAGCAGCCGATAACACCACACTGGAGACGCACAAATAAAGGGATTCATTTGGGAAATAATAGCTCTGATGATCTCCACTTGTTTGATCTGTGCATCTTTTCTTTTTGTTTATCTGAAGTGGGCATACCTGTGAGTCCGTGAGTACAGGAAGGACCCCAGTGTGGACACCACAACCCACCAGACTGCTGCCGTCACCATCGCATGTCCCGACGGACTCCCTGAGAGACGGAGTTCAGCTTTAGAGCTCTGACTTTGCACTGAATTAAGTTTATGTTCTATGAGTTATACAGAAATTAAAATATGTTGAATTGAATGACTGCTCACCTGGGCCTGTTTCACATGTTGAGGAAAACTGGAGAACGTTTGGTTCTCTGTTGACAAACAGACGTGATTCCCCTATCCACCAGAATGGCCTTTCTCCAAACAGCATCCTAGTAAAGAAATCAGTTCACAACACATTAAGTAGAATAATGCAATTTTATATCCATTTGGTCTATTTTCACCAACTGTACCACATGGTGAAACAACATTACTTCAGTTAGTCTTTGTACTGTATATTAAAGATACTTTGTTTGTCCTAACATTGTTTATCCGAAAATCATTTAATACTTATTTGACTTTCAATTTTGAGTACCCTGTCCTTAAGTCCCGTCTCTTTCTGAACAGTTTACATCCTACAATAACAGTTGTGCAAATCAAACTGTTGTTGTTTTTTTAAGTATTTATGATATGCTCTTGTGATCAGTTGCCAATGTTAAAAATATATTTTGTAATTGGATCTACTACAAAATGCCTGGAGTGATTGTACTGCTGCATATAAAAGGTTCCGCCTTTTATCTGTTTCACATCGGACACTAGACGCGGTTGAACTGCAATTGCCTTGGGTCTCGAAACTGCAACTAAATAAATATTACAATTGTTTCTAACTTCATTTTTGCCTTTTTTTTTTAAAATGTCATAATAATGATAAAACACCATAGTAGTCGGGGTATCTACCTAACATTGACAGATCTGAATGTCAACAGCACGTTTAGCTTCATGCTAACATATGTTTGAGATGCCAACATAACAAAACAGAGAAGAGAAGCTCCGCATTAAACCATGTTATAAACATTATGTGTTGTGTTGTAGCCTTACCATTTAAACACCAAGTTTAACCACTCCGATATAGCTGCTACCCAAAGCACAGCTATTCCAGCTCGTTTGCTGAAGAAATATGTGAAAGGAAAGACGAGCAGAAAGGCTGCTTTGGGATCTCCAATATGAGTGATAACCAGCCATATTTTTTCTTGGCTCATCGTCCTCTTCTGGAGACTTTCAGCCATCCAGATGCCTTGGGTGTGAACGTCCTCCATGCCTGCGTCCTTACCCTAAATACAACTACTTAGATGTGAATACAAATAATCAAAATGTAATCCTGATCATTTAGTTCTTCAGGGATGGCTGCAGCAAAGCTAGCAGTGCCGTCATATCACCGGTAGGGGGAGCCCTTTGAATAGAGAGCGCCACTTTATGGGAGACAAAGCCACAACTTTGTACTTCGATGATTTCAGTTATATTCGAACGAAGTCTAAAATTGAAACAGTTAGATGATTTAGGGATCATACGGGTTTACGATATACATGGGGATACATAGTTTCATTAGTGAATATAATTCGTCGTTTTAGATTGAATGACCATAACGCGACGTACTTCGACACGCCCCGGTTTCGCCTCACTACGACATCGCGTTGCTTTACGTAAGGCAGGCGCTCCGGTTTCCTGGCGGAGAAGATGGCGGCTCCTGGACCGGGGGAGTATTTCAGCGTCGGGAGCCATGTCTCTTGCCTCACCTGCTTGGGCCAACGTCTGCAAGGAGAAGTGGTCGCGTTTGACTACCAGTCCAAGATGTTGACTCTGAGTATCCTTTGTTTGTTTCGAGCTGCGGCCGGCTCGCTGGCCTGCCTGGCTACAAGGGCCTGTAGGGTAACCGAAAATATGTCAAATAGTGATCCGCGCAGGCGTAATTGGTGGTAGCTGAGTTACATATCTTTGTCCGTTTTAAATGTGTTCCCTTCTAAGGTAGTCGCCCATCCTTATTGCATCTGTTAAAGGCATTGCATGTGTTATCGGGTCATTCCAATGCTTCACGTTATCTCATTAAAAGAGCATGGGTTGTGAATCCACTCATTGTATTGCCAGAACTCAACATGGATCACTATCTGGCAACGAATCCTAGTAAGGCATCATGGCTGTTTGCTCTCAACAGGCACAAACCGTTGCTAGTTAGCAAGCTATCTGACATTCAGGGCACCTCGCCCCGGCTCACGTGCACACATTTACTGCATGTAGTTTGTGCTGCCTTTCTTTTGGACAAACTAACGATTGATTTCAAAAACATAATGATAAATGGACACTGAGTTCCTATCCACGCTACAATCAAGTTGCTAGTAGCTCGGCTAACATGCTAACTGTCGGTCAACCCCACACCGCCGCTACTAACGTTAGCTCAATTAACGGTATTAGCATTCCGGAGCTTATCAGCTGGCCTTTTCCCCCACGTCTCAACCCGACCCTTGTGGAACTGTAATTGTAGAGTTAATATAGGGTGAAATATGTTACAGTTCTGTGTCATTTCAACAGAATTCTAGTGGCAGATAAATCAGTAGCTTATTACAACCAACGTTAGCTTGCTTGTGATCTTGTCTACACCCATTGCTCGTGTGTATGTGTGCGGATAAAATGCACATTATTTAGGTGGAATGCTGGATCCACTCATGATTTACATTCATGTATATTTTTGAGGTGTAGTTAACGTCAAGTCAGTGGAGTGAACCGGCAAAGGAATGAAGTCGATGCACAGCGATGGTTTGACAGTTGGCATCAAAGGCCTTTCGGTTTGTGTGACACTTCAGTCCCTTCCAAGAAAAACTGAATTAACATGAGTCTAATTAGTTCATAGTTAAACCATCTGAATGAGATGATGAGCTAGAACAGCCTGGACATTTCTATTACGCTTTTTTTTTTAATGGGGTTTAGATTTAATCTAAGCATATGCAGCTCATAATGAAACCATAATGCGTGCAATATGGAAAGTATGAGCAATTTATGTATGCCACTTGAGTCAAAATGTAATGTTTTCACTGTCATAACAGGTCAAACTCTGACCCTGACTTGTTTGTTTCTATTGGATCAGTGAGCCAAAAAATGAAAGGTCATTGTGTGAACTAATTCCTTCAATATATTGTAAATCTCACCTAAATATGTGGAAAGCCTGGCTGCTGTACACTGGAATGACATTGACGAGTCTGACAAGCCCTTGCTGTATTACAGACCAGGCAAGTGTGTTCGATACCTGGGATTTGTAGGGTTTTTAGAACCCCACACTTTCATAGAAATGAATTTGCCACATTCTCCTTTTACTTTGTTAAATGTGATGTACCTGTATTGCTGTTCATTCACTCAAAAGTATATTTCTAGGAAAAGAATGGAGGATTTAATCTAAAAGCAAACCAGTGTGCTTTAAGCTGCCATGGCTACATTTTATTTTATTTGTTAAATAATTTATTAAATAAGTCCAGCTGTAAGCATTGGTTAATTTCCCTTAAAGTCAGTCGTATATCACAGAACATGAATACTTTATTTGCAGCTGGAAATAAGTGCACCCCCTTGCCTCAGTAACTGGCACCACCTCTCACCGCCTGTTAGTGGCCAGTGTTCTCCGTATCATCAGCTCCTCTGTGCTCCTCTGCATGTGTTCAGGTTCCTGAGGGGTCAGATGATCTCAATAGTCATGTTGTCTTGTGATGCATTGTCATGAAGTTGTGTGCCTTGACTTTAGTTCCTTCCAAGAATGTGCTTCCTCCAGCGGCAAGCCGAACCTCAACGACGTCATCCTGATCAACTTAGCCTATGTTTCTGATGTGGACATCATTAATGACCGCACCGAGACCCCACCCCCACTAGCATCTCTGAATGTTAGCAAGGTATGTCTTTCTGTCCTTCTCATGTGTCAGTGTGTGCCTCCATTGATGATAATCATGAGTGTGATGGGACTGAGAGCTGTTAAAAAGCAGTCAATTTACAATTTAGAGCTATACAAAAATATCTAATATTTCTTTAAAGTGTAGTTCTGTTAAGTCTGTTTGACTTTTCCCAAAGGGTCAGTGTGGAAGGTTTTCAGATTCATTCATTTAAACAGTTATACATATTCTAGTTCGATATTCATTTGAAAGTCAAATATTTCATTTAAAATCTATAGTAATTCATAGATTATTTTCTAATCCAACAAATCTTTAACTAGAATCTGCCAATGGTGTTGAAAACATCTTTCTAAGGCTTTTTTGTTGCTTTTTTTTCATAACTAAGACTAAAAGTATAAAACTGGCCAAGTCAAATAACTCCAAGGAACTTGCTTGTGGGTTTTCCAGGTATTTCCTCTATCTTGTAAAGAGTTGAGAACCTCTCCAATAGGTGAATGCGAGGATGAACATAAACACCGCCCGCTCGTCTCAAATTGACCAAATCTGAAGGTGCATTCTGGTGAACCTACCCAACTTCAAAGTAAAATGTTGATTGACATCATCTGGCTTTTTCATTGGTCTTCAGTACCAAGGAGGTTGCCTGCGTGTTAAATACGAGGCAGTCACTTAATATTTAGTGACTTTATATGTTCATTATGTTCAGTACATGTGTACGTATATTAGAGCTTACAAGCCATAATAGTTTCTGCTAGAACGAGGCTTAAAAATGATATGCCTTTGCCGTCCTTGCTAACTTGTGATGATCTAGTTAGTCGAGAAATATGGACTACTGAGGATCCAGCCCCCTGAATGAGTTCATGCCAATAGAATACAAAAAAACTGATTATTGTCGATGGCTCTGATACTTATTAAAAAATAGACGGAGCTATAAAACAAACCCAGTGTTAACCCTGGTGGCATTTTCAGGGTGTTTTCTACTGAGTTAAAGCTCCTCTAAGCTCCACCCCCTTGTGAGAGAAATGTAAACTCTCATTGTTCAGCCAATGATAGAGATCACTTTGTTGTGCAAGTATGTATGCAAATTAGATTTGGAAAATGTAATTCTTGAGTCTCATACAGCTAAATATTTAGATTTACCAAAAGACTTAGGAGGACAAATGTTGAAACTGTCCTGTTCTTATTGCAATATGAGAATAGAAAGCTGTTCCTGTTCAAAGCTGTCAAATCAAACACTGTCTGATGTTAACAATGCCTCTCTGCTCCACTCTCCACAGCTTGCCAATCGAGCACGGTCAGAAAAGGAGGACAAGCTGTCCCAAGCCTATGCAATCAGTGCTGGGGTTTCTGTGGAGGGCCAACAGCTATTCCAGACCATTCACAAAACGTAAGAACTGCAGGCCGCTCAGTCGCTCAGCAGAGCAAAACGTGTCGTTAAGATGAAATAACGCTGATATTTAAATGCTAAGAAAGTATCAAGTGTAATTGCTTACCTCTATTTAGAAGTCTTCAAGATCCAATCTGACCTTGACACACATCATTTAACCTCTGATAAAGACCTGATCAGAAAGGAACCAGAGGGATTTGAATGATTTTCATTAGAGCTGAACAAGTAATAATTGAAAATAATCTGACAACTCGGCAGAAACAGGCTGCTGATTTTATCAAATGGAAAGGAGCTCTGATTATTAAATATTTTGTTTGGGGTATTTAAATAGTTTTGACCGGTATGTTCAGGCATTAAAGTGCAACTGATGCAGTTTATACATTACTCCCAGCTGTACCTTGTTAGCATATGTTTTTTTCACAAAGAGGTATTGTGTACTTAGACACAGTCAAACTGGTCATTTTGAGGCCGATTTACATTCACTCGTATTTGTTCACCCCTATATATTTCCCCTCTTTCTGGATGACCCAACAATATGACCTCACCTTTTTAAGCTCTGTCAATTCAGTTGAAACGGTTTGTTTTTTTAAGACACAATTTGACAAACGGAATTATTATTTTAGACGCTTTTATTTGTTCATTTAGGATTTGGCTGACTAGAGGAGAAGAAATGCACAATAGACAATAGCTTTTTAATAATCACACAATGTCTTGTTTTTGTGGCATTATCTCCACGTAAACGGTCCAACACTTTACTTTGGGCAGCTGAACGTCACAATCACAGGAAATTGATGTCGAGTTCAGTACCTCATCATTTTGTATCAAGGCATTCAACTATGAAACTTATGAACTTTATATCCTGCATGACAAATATCCTGATTAAAATCAAATAGTCAACATATAAGAGTGGATACTGTGCCAATGATAACAAAGTAATGACATTCCTACAGCGGAGTAAAGGAGTGATAAATGTGACTAACAGAATGAAAGTGATTTCCAGTCGTGTCTCGTAGTATTTTGAGCTGCAGATGTGATGATCTTTCTTTCCTCTGCAGCATCAAAGACTGTAAATGGCAGGAGAAGAACATTATTGTGATGGACGACGTCGTAATCTCGCCGCCTTACCAGGTTGAGAACTGCAAAGGCAAAGAGGGAAGCGCTTTAAGTCATGTACGCAAAATAGTAAGTATGCTTCCTATCTTTACAATAATACTCCAACAATACACAACTTGTTCTCTTGCACCCAGAGTGCTCCAACTTTCTTGTGTGGCGCTTTTTAAGCACTTCTAGTTGAAAATGACTCGGCTTCTTTTGCTAGATAAATGCCTTGTAGCCTAGCCAATAAGCATAACCTAAAGATACTCAATCTACTGTTGTGTATATGATTTAAAAGTAAATCCTCCCATTTGGGAACACAGTGTTGCATTTAGCTACAAAGGAAGTCTGAAATGATGAATTCAACATCAAAACAGTGTTGAAATTAAGTTTTGTTCTTGACTTTTAGAGCAATCAACTAGTTGATTCAGCTTAACATGTGTCCCCTCTACCGCTAAACATACACTCGTTAAAAAAAAAAGGGTTAGGGTTAGGTTGAATCAGGTTAATCCCTCCCATCTTCCTCTTTGGGTGTCAAGAACTGTACAGCACTGGCCAAGTTGGCATTAAAACTATAAACAAGACATACCAAACAAGACTTAGAAACACATAAAAGCACAAAAAAGTTGGGAATGAGACAAGAAAGCTTGATTGAAGCCCTGTCTGTTCGGTTTCCCATAGTTACTGAAACTGATGGACACAGCCCCCCCAAACTCCATCTTTGGAAAGCTGTAGAGGAAGTTGGTTTCAGATGCTGTTCGACCGGCAGAAAAAGCTCTTGGGTTGGCGCATACCTCCCCATCAACACCCTCCATGTTATTATTTGTGTGAAGTGCTATAATGTATTTCCTTTTGTCTCTGAATAACTGTTTTATATCGCGCTGAAACGCTTTGTAAAACTGTATAGCCTGCTTCACGTTGTTGCTCTCTGTACAGCAACGTCCTGATAGATATGATTTAAATTAGATATTCACAAGATGGTGTCCCCGGTTTTTTTTTAATGTCACGGTTTCGTTCTTGCAGGTTGAGAAACATTTTAGAGACGTGGAAAGTCAGAAGTCCATGCAACGTTCACAAGCACAGCAAACACAGAAGGACTCCACTTTATCTTCTTGAGTTGGCAGCGCGGGTCGGCCGGGGAAGGCGACGCGGGGGTTTTGTTCCCACTGCCAGACTAATTCGGCATTCCTTGTCCTCAGTCCGAGACCACAAGGAGCAGCGCTGTGGGCCCTGGATCCAGAAGATCAAAATACCATTAAATGAAAAAAAAGACAAAAAAGAAAGAGGAAAGATTAAATCTTAAATTAGACTTTATAAAGAATAATTTAAACATGAACCATAAAGCAACCATAGTTTCCTTAACTAACTTGTTTCATTCTGCCCCCCCCCACCCCCACCCCTCACCCTTCCCTCCCCCCCACCCCCCTCCTGTCCCTGAAGCCTTTTTCTTTTTTCCGCCCTCCTTCCTTTGCCTTCAGTTCCATTTCAAAAAGAGAAAACTAGAGCAGTCAGAAAGGCTTGTTAGCTTTATTTTCTGTCATCGTTTCCTTTTTTGCTGTATCCATGTTCTACTGTCTGTATTTTCTGTATTTTAAACAAAATGTGACTTGAAATGCCACACTTTAAAGGACATTTTCTAAAATAAAAGTAACAAAAATTCTGACTGTAATACTGTAATTTTCAACAACTTTTTGAAGAACTCCTGAACACACATGAACACATTCTGAACAACTGTTGGGCATTATTGTGGGTGAAGTACTAAGCTTGTTTCACTTTGTGGGGTTTTTTGAAAATTCAACGTGACATCACTTTTCCTCGGGGGGGCATGAGGATGTCCCCACTCGTCATCAGAGGAGGTTTCTCTGGACAATGCTCAGGTTTCTATCTACAGATTGTTTGGTAGCCTGGTTGTGATGCAGCCATGTAATTACAGGAACCTGAAGCCATCACTGTTCATAATGAATCATTTAAATGTGTTAAGCCTCCGGTTACTCTAAAGCTGCTTTCTGACATTTACTTCTGTCCTCTTTACGGCACAGAGCCCTTTACAGTTAAATGGCAGCATGAAATCATTACTAAAATATGTATTTAAAGACTTAATACTGCTATTGCTGCTGGACTTGTGTGGAAAAGCAGTGATTTCTATGCCTTTTTATAATTGGGAAAGCTAGATTTAAGTAGCTGATTTTTCCTGACTGATCATAGGTCTGCAATTATTATTTTCTTTATTGGTCGATTTGGTCTATAAAATGTAAAAGTATAGTGAAAATATGTTTTGCAATTTCCTTGCAGTGTCATGATTTATCTGATAATTGGTACTAACGTATTTAATTGAATGTACTGAGTACATAGATACTACACAAATATTCCCATTTCAAAAGCTTTTAGAGTTTTTATAGAAAATAACGTAAAATATTGCTAGATTATCAAAATGTTTTCAAAACAGGGGTTATTTTGCCCAATAATCCAAGTGCTGCATCTTGAGTACTTTTCTTATCACATTGTAAATGGTAAAGCATTCATCACCAGTTCAGTTTTAGAACTCCATATAATCTTACATGTTGTAATGTGATGCAGACATGGCAATATGAAGTAACTGCTTCACTATAAAAGGACAGCTTTATGATCCAAATAGAGCAGCAGATGTAAATCCTTATTTTAGGAGAGGATCCAAAACTGGCCTGGTTTGTTCCCCGGTTACGGTTACGTTCTGTGATTATTTGTTTAAGCCTATAATCCCCCTCTAATCAGGAATATCCAGTGTACGCTCATAGCGAATTTCCCGAGGTTACATCAATATCAGCCTCTCTTGGTAGGGAGAAGGTAACATGCCTTTTAGCAGCATCACACAGATATAAACTGAAAATGGCCGTCAGCTGCTCGGTGCTCTTGGTGCTGCCCCTCCTCCTCCCCCCGGGGCTGGGCTTCAGGCTGTGTCCCAGCCCCTGCCTCTGCTACCAGTCCTCTGACCTGGTGGACTGCCGTGCCCGGGCCCTGGTCCGTGTCCCCCCCAGCGTCCCCCACGGCACCTGGCTGCTGGACCTGAGGGGGAACTCTCTGACCGAGGTGCACAGCAGGTCCTTCGTGGGGCTGTGGTCTCTGAGGATCCTTCTGATGTCCAACAACAGCATCCAGACCCTGCAGCCACAGGTACCAACACTGTGTTTCATCTCATCTAATACTACAGTGGAGGATCCAGTAAAATAAATTATACCTCAAGAAAGAAATCAAGCTTTCTTAGCCGTACTAGAAACATACAAGGTACGTTTTAAGAGCTGAATGTACTTAAAACATCAACTAAAAGTACTCGTAATTCAGACAAAGTGCTTGTGTGTCAAACTTTATGATTTAATCAATAATGGAGCATAAATGTGTAAGCAGTGTTTCAATGTTGCTGACTGTGGAGGTGGAGGTACCTTTTACAGGTTTAGTAGAAATGGCACCATTTTTCTTTCTATTCCAGCTTGCATGTAACATTTTTTATTTAGACTTCAAAGTATTAAATAGCTGTGAACTTTGGCAACTTATTTGTATTATATATGAAGCTGGTGATATCTATGAAGCTATTGATAATTTCCCCCACATTTAATCTGTTCAATGTTAGAAAACATATCTAAATATGTACTCGGAGCCCAAAGTGTCATCCTCAAATTGTTGTACATTTTAAATCAATATCTGGCCGAGAAATTAACAAATCATTCATTACACTTATAAAGCTATCATCAAATGGTTAGCACTTATCCTTGATGAATGATTACAATAATTGGCCATTGTCAAAACACATTTTTTTGTGGAATGACAAATTGTCTGTTTCTGATGTGCTGTTAATTAAGGTTAGAGAGTAACATTTCCAATATTTGCCCCTGAAATTAGTTTAAGGAAGCATATACTAGGCCTAATAGTAATCAGTACCTCAAAATGGTGACTTAAATCACTTAAATTCAAAAGGCCAAAACAATGGTGACATTTCTTTTTCCAGTCTCTGTCGTCCCTTCAGTTCCTGGAGAAGCTGGACTTGAGCTTCAACCAGCTGCGAGGGCTCCCTCCAGACTTCTCCCAGAGCCTGTCCTCCCTGAAGGAGCTGCAGCTGGACCACAACCTTCTGCTGCACCTCCACTCCTCCTCCCTGAGGGATTTAGAAAACCTCAGGAAACTGGACCTCAGTTATAATTGCATCTGGACCATCGATGTGGGGGCTTTCAGCAGCCTGACCCACCTGAGCGTCCTGAGCCTGGAGGGGAACCGGCTGAACGCTCTGACTGACGGGCTGCTGAGCCGGCAGCAGAGCCTGGAGGTTCTGCTGCTCAGCCACAACAACATCTCCCTGATCCAGACCCAGGCTCTGGCCCCTCTGCGCAGTCTGACCCTGCTGAGTCTCCGGGGGAACCAGCTGGAGCACATCCGGTTCAAGACCTTCCTGAAGCTCCAGACCACCTCCACCCACCTCCAGATGTCCCTCAACCGCTGGACCTGTGACTGCGAACTGCAGCGGGACTTCTCCAAGATCAGTTACGTTCGACACCTGCATGTGGACGACTACCAGGACATCGTGTGCCACGCTCCGGAGCAGCATGCCGGGAGCTCCCTGGCCTCCATGGACAGCCAGCTGTGTATCGCTGAGACAGCGTCCATGCTCGTCATCACCATCACCGTGATGCTGGCTGTCATCGGGGCGCTGGTCAAAGCCGAGCGCAACAGCAAGAAGAACGTGCAAACTGTGACTGAGGATGACTCAGAGAGACCAGAGAACTGAATTTGACTTCTTTATTTTGACCTTGCTCGCTCCTCTGCTCCTCTGCGAGGTATCCCACACTTCTCCATTCTTATGCCTAGTAAGGAGCATCCAGAGGACCCACTTCCCTTAAATATTTTAATCACGTTTACAGCTTTCTTTTGTTCACTTAAAGGTCCCATGTCATGCTTTTCCGGTTATTACCCGTCCCCTTGTGTGTTATGAAGCTTTTTCTGCATGTAAACGGTCTGCAGAGTCACAAACCCTCAAAGTACACCCTGTAGCGAGTAAATCTTACACAGAAAAGACCTGTCTATGCTGCCCCAGAACGCCTCGTTGGAGATTTCTCTTTTTCTTCCTGGGTACAGTGACGTGCCCAAATGGACCAATCCGTGGAGCCGTTATGTTACGTCCGCGGAGCCGTTAGGTTAAGTCCGTGGATTGGTCCAAATGGACCAATCGGCGGACTTCCTCACACACACACTCAATCTTTACTCAGCTGCAGCTCCGCCGATTTCTCCTCCCTGAGACGGCGGGACGCGGCGAGGCTGTGAGTCGGTGTGTGAGCACACACACAAACTCCCAGCCAGGCTGCGGGTGGGTGTGTGTGTGTGTGTTCGGGCTGGGTTTCGCTGTGTCTCGCTGTCTCGCAGACGGCCACTGGGCTCATAGGGAGGGGGGGGCAGGAGCTCCAACAAGCCGTTTAGGACAGAGAGTGAATACACATACTATACAGAGATGCTGTATGAGAAACCAATGTGATTTTGGAACATTGCACAATATAAATCTATTTTAGTAGACCTCAACAATGGAATTATGATCAGTAGAAATGGCCATGACATGGGACCTTTAATGTCTGGTATGCCAACATCTGTAGCAGAATGGGAGAATCTTAAAGTGTACCAGGCTTTATGCATAAAAAGTCCAATGTATAACCTTTATTAGATCCTTTTCATACATTTAAAAACCTGATGGCAAATTCTAACTGGTAACATCAACAACACTTATTAACTATACTTTGATTGTTAGATAGCTTAACTTGACAGTGTTCATTTGTTTTAACTCATGGGACTGTTGTATCAATACAGCATGATTCAAAATGTACGGGATGGGAACAAAGCGTAATAGAATAATTTGTGTGAATAACCCAGTAAAATGTTTATTACTGGACAGTGGTAATTTCAGTTCAAACACAATCCTGTGTTTTTGTGACACACACACTTGACGTCTGAAAAGTCTACAATATATCAAGTCTTTATGTATTTATATTTTATCAATGGAATGAAAAGGATGTACAGTATTTGTGTGACGGATAGTTCACAAATAAACTTCGAACATTCAGAAAAGGTAACCATTAAAGTTATAAAAAATAAATGTTGTCATACTGAATTTATTATTTTTTTACAATGATTATGATTCACTATACTATATACTTTTTCTGATATATTTTTATAGTATGTTGAAAAATATGCAAAAATAAACATAGTATATATAGCATGTCGAATTCTGCAGAAAAAACGACATAGTATTATGTGTTGAAAATATGCAATAATCGGCATAGTATAGAATGTCGAAATAAGGTGTAGTATAGTATGTTGATAAAATGACAGAAACAACATAATATACTATGTCAAAAAAAGGGCATAGTATATTATGTCGAAAATATGCCAAAAAAACAAAGTGTAGTATTTTTAAATTTCAGAAAAATCGATATAGGAAAGCACGTCTAAAAATATGAAAAAACGACATACTATGTTTTTTTCCTGATATTTTCAACATACTATACTATGTTGTTTCTGAAATTCTTTTAAAACATTTTGATATAACACACCATGTCGTTTTAGGGATATTTTGGACTTCATATTGGCTATTTGGATTTATTATTTATTAACATTTTTTACATGTTTTATTATTTTAGAGAAAATACACTATGTTGTGCTTTTTCCCACAATATTTTCGGCATAAATAATATACTGTGCCATTTTAAAAAGATTTTTTTTAAATAATATACTGTGCCTTTTTGGGGACTATACTATTCTATGAATTTCTCTATGTTATTTTCTAATATCTTAGACATACTTTGCCATGAATCTTCTTGGGATATTTTTGACATGATATACTTTGCAGTTTTTTCTGAAATTAAGTATACTATACTATACTTTGATTCTTCAAATGTTTCAACAAACTACATTAGACTTTTTTCAACATTTAGGACACACTATACTATTCCTTTTTTAATACTAATAGTATTACATGAATACTATAAAATACATATAGTATGTCATTAAAATGATGGTGCATTATGTTGCAAGAATAATAATAAAATGTTATGTATGGCATGTCCAAAGGAAAGTCATTGAACATAACATAAAGACTCTCAATTTAGTTAAATATAAATTCATAGTACAGTATGCTGTAAAAGGTTATAACAAAGTAATTTTAGAGTAGGTCATTAAACAATTCATAGTATAGTAATGCATAATGCACTTTCATTCAGCCTTTCATCCTGTGCAAAACTGTTCTTTTAATGCATAGTTACGGTGGTCAGGTGATGGACGAATAGATACATATTATTGCCGTTATATTAGTTTGCACACAATTTTGATGATCTAATAATTCAAAGATGGACAATCTTCTCCAGCATGTAACCTAATGGATTTACTTCATAAAGTGTGACTAAAACGTTATAATTACATTTGTTGAAAACCACATAATTGCACGAGTGAAAAGCGTCAAAAACACTGTTTATTACAAATAAACAAAACCCCATTCCATTAAAAAAAGCAACATAAGTATAATTTAAGTTTCCCTTTATTCGCAAACCCATATCTTGTAAATATTATACCATTTAAGACTACCTTCTTTGTAGAAGGTATTTTCTCAGTAAATACAGTATCAATACTCAGTGTCATGTTTCAGAGCATAACAGACAAAAATGTAAACATGGATCTGAATAAATAATTAAATTGCGAAAAAGGTAGCCTGTGTTTTTTCTTTTTCTTGCAAAAGCAAAAATACCAACTGGTGGGCAAAGACAACCGACGCTGCTTACATCCAACGGTCTCAGCCTGGAGTGTTTGAGCCCTGAGGTCGCAGAGCGGCGGCAGCCTTGGGTAACAAGTCGGGCTGCTGCGTAAAGCCAACAGTCCCCTCAGACACCTGGGTCTGTTAAAGTTATCTGTGAGAGCCCAGAGGGTTCAACCGTCAGTGGCCAGGATCAGCACAGCGCCGAAGATACCCACATTGTGCCCGATCAGCTTCATCTGGTTCCAGAACTCCACCTTGCGAGAGTTCTGCCAGTAGCCCAGGTTGCCGTCGATGAGCAGGATCACCAGGGGCAACACCACGGCCAGGACCTGAGCCGCCAGGCGGATGTACCAGCCGGAGAGGAAGGCCAGAGCCAGCACCCCGAACAGAACCTCCAGCAAGGTCAGCGTGATCTCCCCCCCCACGATGTGCTCCACATAGGCCATTCTGTCCTCTTTGCTGTTCTGAAGGGAGTACACCTAGGGGGGGGGGGGGGAGGAGATATTGTGTTACAGGTTAAGGTGGGATCATCATAACACCTGCACTGTTTTACAAGACTTTAACCTGAACTCTCATCTGCACACTTATATAAATATATGTATCATGTTCATACAAATGCACAACTTTTTACTGTGATATCTTGTTTTAATAGTTACTTTATCACTTTATTATTGCTGTATTATTATTTGAATTTCTAATCTATTTTATCTTTATTCTTACCCTGTGTGAATCCTGCTTTTCATTCTGACACTGTTGCTGCTATTAACGCCTGAATTTCCCCAAGGGTATAAATAAAGTTTCATCTTATCTTATTATTTGACTTGTTCAGAAATAAACTGCCAACAACCCTATTGTCATTCATAGAAATGGTGATCATGTGATTGTACATTTATCTCAAATAAGATTATTTCATGTAGTGGTTGCAAGAAACCCCCAGCAGGACTTTGGTGAGAACAGTGACTCCAAGATAAAGAGGCTTGTAAGGATAATGGCTGCTGTAAGTAAATCCTTATCAAATAATGAACCAAGCACTTTCTTTATTAATAACTTATTCTGTAAAATTATAAATCCTATGACCAAAAGATGTTCAGTTTACTACATTTAAAAAGTAGAACTAGAGAATGTCTGCTAAAAGGAGTTTTGGTTTTAAAGTTCCCCAACATGTTCTAATGCTTGATCTATTTTAGACCAACACTTGCTTTGGGCATCGAAATATAATGTGTCTGTAAAAATGCACTTTATGACAATTGGTCAATAAAATGTATTACGTGACTTTTTTTGTTCTGTGTTGGTCTCAATGTGTTTTTATATCAGAATTGTTATATTCATTCAGACAATAATTAAATAAATAAATACAATGTGTGTGGGTCTTACCATGCAGATGAGGTAGACCCCCAGGAAAACTTGTCCAGTAGACTGCAGGGATCTGCTGCGGGCTTTCTGTCTGTACACCTCCCCCGCCCCGCTGGCCAGAACCATGAAGCCTCCGATGATGGCCAGCGCTCTGGAGTACATCCGTACCTGCCGGGAAACAACACTCAGGCTGAAATAACAACATAAACAAGTCTATCCTACAGTGTGAATCTCTGATAAAGTGTGGCCCAGATCCACGTTCCCCTCATGTGTGACACGGATCTATTTTTAATATTTCAAAACTGATCTAAATCTCAAACATATCCAATTACGGAGAGATTTGACATCTTTCTGAGGAGTCAGAGAGGTGAGAGGGAGGGATGGGTGAGACTGACAGTGATAGAAATATCGAACAAAACCAACAACTTCTACATCAGGACGAAAAAAGAAATGTAGAATATTATATTGTAGAAAAGTTGGAATACTTTTGAATTTATGTCATATTTCCATTTATGGGTTATTCCATTTCATTTGTATCAGCCCTAAGAGTTATTTGGCTTTCAAGGATTTACTGTGACGAAGGCAATGTCTTGTGATGTCTTTATGTGTATGAAAGGTTCATTACAAAATGTAATTTATGCCAGGTTTGGACATTTTTGTCACAGCAGCATTGTTGTTCTTAAAAATAGAAAACAATACACATTAAATCAACATTAAGAGTTTTACCACAAAAAAATAATAATAATGTATGCCATAACTGACATTAGAAAGCAGGGATACTGAATCAAA